ATAGCACAAGCAAATGTTCCATTTGAGGCCACGTAAAATGCTGTCCATCATTCGCTCGAATGTGGCAGGCGCATTGCAGAGTCCGAATGGCATTACGGTAAATTCATAGAGACCATCCGGTGTGACGAACACCGTTTTTGGACGATCAGACTCAGCCATTGGGACCTGCCAATAACCTGAGCGAAGGTCAAGCGAGGAAAAGAATTCTGCACCTTGGAGACAATCGAGAGCGTCGTCTATGCGGGGAAGAGGGTAAACATCTTTCCTCGTAATGTTGTTTAGGCGCCTGTAGTCTACGCAGAACCGGATCGAACCATCCTTTTTTTTGACGAGTACAACTGGTGAAGACCAAGGACTACAAGAAGGCTTGATGACTCCACGCTGTAGCATGTCGTCTACTTGTTCTGCGATTACGTGACGCTCCACCGGGGACACGCGATAGGGGCGCTGGCGCAAAGGAGCACTCTTCCCTGTGTCAATCGTGTGCACAACGGTGTTCGTTCTTCCTAGCACCGCTTGGGGAAAGTCAAACGAACGCCTGAATTCGTGCAACAGGGTAACAAGCTGCTCTCGTTGAACCGGGGCGAGGTGGCTGTCAATAGAACTTTGAAATGCATCGGACGACACGCTGTTCGAGGCAAAGTGAGGAACCAACGCGTTCAGCTCCATATTCGGCTTGGTGTCGAAGAAATCGGCAGGCACGATAGTACCTTCATCGATAAGCTGAATGTGGCCGAGCGTCTCGTTACGGCGCAAACTGAGGGGGCACGAGTTCGGATTTGAAATAAATATTCCGGTAGTGTCTTGATAAAGCGCAAGAACGTCGAATGGCAGCGATGTGTGGTGGCGGCTACCGAAGATGTCAGATGGCGCGAATAGGACGGTAGCGTGAGAAAGTGAAGTGCAGCAGGCAGGGACAAACTGGGCGCTGAAAGGAGGAATGTCTATGTCCGTCGCGACGACAAGGTTAGCCACACTAGATACGGCCGCATCAACAGAAGGCGCGTCACGAAACGGTAACAGCTCCACTTCGGCCCGAGCGCAGTTCACGACGGCGTGATGACGTGATAAGAAATCCCATCCTAGGATGACATCGTGGGAACATGAAGCCAACACGTGAAATTCAATGATGTACAACACGTCTCGAATAACCACTTTTGCCGTACATGCCGCGATGGGCTCAATTTGTTGGGCGCTCGCAGTGCTAAGAGAAACTACGGAAGAAAGCATCGTCACTTTACGAAGAGAGCGGCAGAGTCTTTGACTAATCACAGATATCGCGACACCGGTATCGATGAGTGCAAGTGTTCGTACACCTCGATTACATCGATAAGATTGGCGGGAGACAGGCAACGGGAGACAGGCGCTTCGCACTCAGAGAGAGATGGTCCCACTAGGCAGTGTCTTGCGAGTTCCCCACTACAACTGTCCAATCTACGTGGCTAAACGACAGCTAACAGTTTGTTGAAGCAGCGTCCCGAGAAGCCGACAGTTCATGCATGACGATGGCCCTTGTCCGTAGTGAGCTCAGGCACGCAGGTTGCGCGTGCAGTCACAGCAGGAGGCAAGGCCTTTGTCAGGCCTCACGTTCGTAGACAGCTTTCAGCCGTCTCAGGTGGCAGCGGAAATCCGGAACCCGTCGTCCCTGTCGCGCACGCCGAGGCAGCAGGAGCCGCACCCAGTGCCGGTAGCCCCGGACAGGTACCTCTGCTCCCAGACCTTGATCACCCGGGAATAGACGGGAGGAGCTCCGCAGACAGCGCCCTGGTCCGGCGTGTTCCAGCTGAAGCCACCCCGTCAGGACCACCAGGCGAGCACCAGGCCCTCTGTTAGCACGCCACCAAAACCTCCAAGGACAGTGCCCTGGTCAGGCGTGTCTTTTGGCTAGGTCTTGATCGGCTCTCTGCGCGTTCCCCATGCGCCTCTCTTGTTTCTCTTTTTTTCCTCTTGTGCCAACTGTCGCTGGCTCGGCTTCTTGTCCTCGTCCTTCCCTTCCTCGGACGCCCGCACAAACATTTCTAAATTTCACCAAAGTTTACATGCACACACATTTACGCCACACAAAGTTCGTCCATGCATTACAGCCAGAAATCAGTTGCGGTTTCGTACAGAATCAACGTAACTCTTTGCAGTGGCTCTACTTGAAGGAATTGGGTGGCACTTGCAACACTCGAATGGTAATTCACGATAAATTTGCAATGACACGGGCTTGTGAAATTAACAATTGGTACAGTTCAGCGTAAAAAATTTCTGTTGTGATAATGCATAGCCTGAATTACAATCGACCACTTCCCACGAGTGCGCTTACTTTTTTTTTTCTTGTTTATTTTGTTGACAACGTGGCTTTTTTAATGTCAATTTTCGGAAATTTGAATGCTTATAAGCACACCACCACCACCACGAGATTTTCGAACTGCGAGATGGCATGTTCAACATGTTTTGCGGTGTGTAGCCAATGAAGAAAGCTGTGTTGGTTGTAGTGCGGATATTCGCGGCTTAGTGACTGAAGTGGCCTATACTGTAGTTGGAAATGAAATTACTGGAAATTTTACCTCGCGTAATCGGCACATTCAAACTGGGTTTTTCTGGTGAAAAAGTGTGCCTGTTGTGTGAGTACCGTATTTATTCTCGTAATGAACGTACTGGCATAATAAACGCACCCTCAACCTGTAGGGTCTCGAATTGGCGGGCGACCACCACGCCACGCTCTTGGAGTGAACAGGCACAGAAAACGCGGTCGGTACAATACCAAACAACAATATGCATTTATTTAACTAATTTAGAACGACGATATCGTCTGCCAAATCGATACATCAATCGTTATCAACACGCTAGGACATTCTTACACAATATTACCATACACTCCATGACAAACACAATAACACGACAAACACAAGATAACACGACAAACACACAATAACACCCAAAGCGGCATCGCCAATGCTTGGCTTAGTACGAGGGCCCCCCACACACGGCCCGCGGTGCCACGTGCCGAGGACTGACGCTAGAGACAACCGTTCGCGGCAACCGCCCCAAGCCGAAGAGACTCGCTCAACTCTCGCCCACTACCAAGGCTGGCCTTCCGTCAGGGGTCACCGCCGGTTTCACCACTCTACGAACCATGATGATGATAGTAATGTTCACTGGGGTTACCGCCGGCCCTACCACTCTGCCAACCATGATGATGATAGTGGTGTTCATTCACTGCTCTCGTACACGCCATCTACTGCCCAATGGTTGTAACCAGAAATGCGGCTATTGGGCGAGACACGTGCGCCACGCTGCGCAAACAACTTCACAGGGGAGTTTCAGTACCCCCACAAGCTTCAGTCATGAAAATTTTGATATTTTTTTCTGAAATAAACGCAACTCCTACATTCGTCTGGTGCAGTCCCACTAACAGAAACTTGGTACCTCCTTTCACATTGGATCTCTTTCGTTTTTTACTATTATGCCGAACCCCCTCAGCCATTTATCGGCTCACTCACTCTCTCCTTTGCCTGCTGCCGTTCGCCGTATAGTTTCCCTTTCTATCTGTGCTTGGCACGTTCCCAGTCTTCTTTAAATATCTATGCTCCACAGCGGCGTTCACGAATGGTGCGAGTATAGAGACATCGCAGCTGACAAGCACACAGCAAGCAAAGGTCACAAAACTTCCCATGCGAACTGACGGTCTCTTTCTGCAAATACAAAACTTTAAGACCCAACCACATCCACACCATTTTCGAGTCACGACGACAAGATACACTGTCGCTATAATTGTTGCAAAGGGCCATTTGTCGGCATCATGTCGCAGGTTTCTGGAAAACCAGAAAGGAATAACTTGTCGCCCCGAAAAGATAGTGACTATTTCCGCAAGAAAGTCCCCGATTCTTGCTTCTGTTGCAAGCGAGGTGGCCGTCGTGTGCTGTCGTTAATCTTGTTATCGACAATTTGTTTTGATTCTTTCGGTGGTAGCTTGCTGCAATGTTGGTTGCTTGCTACAATGTCAATGGTGGCGTCACAGTCGTGGTGCGAGGTTGCCACGAAGTTTGCAAACTGCGTCATGGTGTCGAAGCGCACGCTTCTAGGCGCCCGTCGCGATCACAGCAGATACCACTGTTGCGGTTAAATAATTGCTAGAAAAGATAACCGCGATACGCTTTTATGGCGTGCACGGGCGGCGCGAGAACAGCTTGAAGAAGACATTGCCTTCAACTACCGAACATCAAAGATGCTGAGCGACCTAACTTTTTTTGCATTATCTAATTTTTTGACTCATACCGAAAAGGTTCTCATAAAGTTTGCCCAGCATAATAAACGCACCCCCAACTTCGCTCTAATTTTTCGAGAAAAAGAAAGTTGCGGTGATTACGTGCGTAAATATAGCAAATAGAGTAAGCTGAGGGAGCACCACTGTCTCTTAAAGACTCCTCTTAATTACATCTTGCACGTCATTGTCGAAATTGGTAGTGCATTCCAGAGCTCTGCGAAACCACCATTCTTTTCTGGCGCCAAAACAAGATAACAAGAGAAATAATGGAAGCCTTCCATATCCACCAAAATGCTTCCACGTGCCTACCATCTATTAACAAGTGAAGTGTCTTACTTAGTGTCTTTGGCGCCGAGAACAGACGAGCGGCAGCCACGTGCATGCTTGGCATGAATGATGTCGTTTTTGCCCTCAATTGTTTCCTACTCATTTTTTTTTTAACCTCATGTGCCAAAGGTTGCATTTTTAATTTTGAGCTGGTATATGTCCCCCCAGTTGGATTGTGGTTTCATGCCTGAATTTTCATGTATAGGTGTGAGATAAAACCTGGCCATCTTCTGTGAATAAACTTTAGTGTGAAGTAAGCGAGCGCTCGTTTGTGTAGTGTTTTTCTTGTATCTTGTTTGTCTTGCGCTCCTAAATACCCTCATGTTAAGCTCGCCCAAATATTGGTTCGCCCAAAAAAACTCTGCATGTAATCCTGTGGAAGAAGCAGTTGATGTATGCAGTTGTATTGCATCCCGTACAGGTGGATAAGCGGCCAGGCAACAACTTTGTGCGTGCCGAAGATCCCAAGGTGATCCAGGTGAACGAGTGGCACAATGTTCCTCGGGTGGAACTGCAAGGCCTCAGTCCCGAAAGCTACTACCGAGCCGAAATCGAGGCCTACAACGACATCGGCTACAGCGAGCCTGAGAGTTTGGTCTTTCACACTGCCCGAGGTAAAAAAAAAAATGTTCATCAAATGCGATATGAGGGATATTGCTGGTATGAGGTATATGAGGGATATTGCTGAGGGATATAATATCAGCCAAAATTGTGCACAACTGCACCAATGTCGTGGGTTTGGGAGTGTTTATCACTGGCAGATGCCACGCCAGGATGTCAAAATATTGTGCAGGTTGTTGTCGGGCCACGTTAGTCTCAACCATGTACTTAAAATTATTTGGCTGAATGATTAGCGGTCGCCCTAGTGACAATGTAGCTTTTGTTGCACAAGTGACAAAGCGTGCTCTCCGCAACAGCTCGTGGTAGCGTGTAAGTGTTTCAATAGTCGCGCTGCACGTAATTAAAGCAATTCTCACTAATAAGTGCCCATGGGCCGCCATATTGTCTGTCACGTCTATTTCTAGGCATCGCAATCAAGTTTGCCGGGCTTCGCGTCCGCAGAAGAGCATGTGAATGCAGGAACGCGTTGACACTTTCTTTCGAACATACGTCATCTATGGACATTCTTCCAGAACAGCTTTTTTGTAATTCTTTCAACTAGCTCATTTGCGTTCGGAATCACTCTTGCCCTACATACCCCTAAAAGGTCCTGCTCTTTCGAGCACATGAGTGCAGGGATCTCGTTGTGAATGTTTCGCTTGCTTTTCTAAAAATGTCATCTCATTATTAAAAGCATGTCTCCTGGTCGGACCAGTCGCAATTCGGTTTTAATACGCGCATTTATCAGTAGTGGGCCCATCGCTTGTGGCCCTGGTGACAGAAGGCCTACTGTCAAACGGCTACCTTGTGTTACAAGTCCACCTTTCGCTTTCTATGGTCAATAGCTCACGCTTAAAAAGTATTAAACATCACGATATCACATTTACTGCTTCGTTCTGATGGGTGGGCGGCTTTGTCGCTGGTTCTCGCTGTCTCAAGGCATCATGAGACTGCTTGTAAACTTGTGCTATCAGCGTCTACTTCATGTTTAGAAGACTTCCAGCACGAAAAATCACTTTGCCACCTTGAGTTGGCCATAGTCCCTCTAACCAACGTTCTGTTGAGTTATGCGAGATTGGGTCAAAGGCACAATTTGTTAGTTTTGTTGAAGCTCTTAGCAATGTATGCAATACCAGCAAATTGCATTGTCATGAGAAGTGAGGCTTGACGTCATCCGAGAGGAGCAGTAGCAGTGGGGTTGGCGTTTTGAAGGTCTACGGAGTCACTGCATGCCCAAAAAATATGCTGCACGCTCTGTGTTCGAGATCCGCGCGGCGACTTGGATGACTAGAAACATCCGAAACACCTATAGCATGTCGAAGCACGTACAGTTTGAACGGCCCATATGACCGAACCCTCAAAATGGCACGACAACGGTGTAGCCGCCATGTGGATCAAGGCTCGGTGCATACCCCTATCACAAATGCGGCTGACTAATAGGTGGCCAGCGTGCGCGCACGCTTTGACCAATCAAGTGCGCGCAAACGACCTTTGGAAAAATATTGGTAGCATCACTCTCGCTGCACCGGGGCCATCTTTAAATAGGGAAAACACGCACGAAAAGGCAGCTTCAAAACAACACTAAGATGGCGGCGCCCAGTCACCGCGTTCACAAGTTACGAGCACACAAACATCGAACATATTTAGCCAGTTTTCGCCTCTACGTAGACTCCACGAAGACTATTTGGCATCCACCTAGACATGTAAAACGCCATTTTCTTTTAAATATTTCTCTATTGAATACAGCTTTCAGTTTTCACCTGGAGATTATAAATTTTGGAGCTGTGCAATTCTACACTTTTTTAAAAATTCACTTTTTTTATGATTTTTCACCATTTCAAGATCCGTGTCACCTTTAAACGGGTTGCACTTCTAATGTGATGCACCTCCTCACTTGCACTTTGGGAACACCACAAAGTGGACTTTCCCCAGCAAAGAATGTTTTCTCTTGAGAACCGCCCATTTCTACCCTCTAGTTTTTCTAGAAGCATGTTCACTCCTCCGCATCCCAGAGAAATTTTGGGAGGACCACGAAGGTGGCTTCTCAAAGCACAATGCAAGAATGACACTCCTCATTGCATTTTCCCACTGGAAAGGAAAAACCAAACATAAAAAGGCAGCAATTAGTGCTGAACAAAAAAATTTTTTCCCCTTCAAAATGAAAAAAAAAAGACCAAAAAAAATAATCAGTCAGGGGCACTCCTGACTGATTATTAGTGACGAGTGTTGCCTATAAGATATTTCAATAAATCGGCAGTCGCTGTTTTCTATCTCTCTTTTTTCGTACATCTTCATCTTTTCTCCTCTTTAAATCTATTCTGTCGTCATCGCTTTTCTATTTAATTCCAAATTTCGTGGCGGCTAGGGTTAATTCTGTGTAATTGCTCAAACTTGGGTAGTTGTATATCTATATGGTTATAGCGGCGATGCATGGCTGGCGTCCATAAGTGTCCTACCTTGCAGCATCCCCTTGTTGGGCTTGGTGGTGGGTGGCCACCATTGCCGCCGAACATTATATTCCATGTATGGCATACTTTTTTTCCCGACTCCCTTATCACCACTCCAAAATGTGGCTTACCGAAGAACAGGTTGTGCTTTTCCTACCAAAGCAATCTTTCCTCAAGTATCATGTATTACATAGCCAGAAAAAAAATAAGACTGTCCGATCGATTTCACCTTTTTCTTGTATCGAAAACCCTCACGGAAGCAATTGACCCAGGATATAATGTCACCAAGATGGGAAGCGGCGACCTCCTTCCGAAGGTTCGCGACAAGCTTCAGTATGACAGTCTCTCAAAACTTGTAGCATTCGGGGACGTCCCAGTATCAGTAGGCCTTCATAGATTCATGAAGACAGTCCGCAGCATCATTTCAGATGATGATCTTCTTGAACTCTCAGAAAGTGAGCTATTAGAAGGCTGGCAAAATCTAAATATAGTCAAGGTTAAGAGCATTACTATACGATGAGACAAAGAACCATTCACCAAACACATAATTATCACCTTCGGTACTAGTGACTTACCAGAATGAATAGAAACCGCATATTGCAAGCTACGTGTAAAACCATGTATTCCTATACCTCGTCGATGTTTCGAGTGTCAACGTTTCGGGCACGGATCGCAAAGTTGCAGAGGGCGCACCGCTTGCGCAAAGTGTGCATCCATTCAACACATATATCCGAGGAATCCGATGAACTCTCGTGTGTATATCCTAGATTTTGTAACTTGTTTTTGGAAATAATAAAAACTTGAAAACTTGAATGCACCTCAGAAGCAACTCATTGTTCAAACTGTGAAGGAGATCACCATGCCTACTCACGATCATGCCCCATATGGGAAAAAAGAGAAAAAAAAGTAGAACTCAAGGTCAAATTCAATCTGTCATTCCAAGAAGCACGTAAACGTTTCGCACTGCCCAACTCCTCTTATCCCTCCTTCGCAGATGTGACGCGCCGAGGCGCCGCGCCACATGTTTCTGCACTTGCGGATGTCACACAGTGTGTGGCTGCAGTCGTGCCACCGGTGCCCCCGGCTGGAGCAGCCTGTACTGCTCCACCACCTGACAAACAGGGTCGGCAGACCCCCGTGTCTGCTGACTCTGACCACTGCAAGCGCACTTAAGTTCCAAAGTTCTGTGACCATGCCTGCCAAGCAGGCACCATCCGCTACCTCACAAGAGCCGATGGATACAAGTCCCACTTCTCTGGCGCCTAAGACGCCATAGGAGAGGGCTAAAAAAGGAAGACTACGGATTACAGGGTCTCCTAAGGACCCTGTAATCTAAGGCAACACTTTTTGTACACACAGCACCACAGAACCTAAAAATGACACAAATATTACGGTGGAACGTCGGAGGACTGCTGAAAAACCTCGACGATGTTCAAGAACTTTTATACAAACAAACACCAAAAGTGCTGTGTGTACAAGAGACACACTTGAAACTGAAATACACAGACTTTCTATGCTATTTCGTTACGTTTCTAAAGGATCGGAACGATGCAGTCGTGTTTTCCGGTGGTGTTGCCATTGTTGTGGATTCAGGAACTGCCTGTACACATTCACCACTTCAGACGTCTCTTGAGGCAGTAGTCAGTCGAGCCGTTATATTGAACAAACTGGTCACAATTTGTTCTATTTATATACCTCCTCAGCACCAACTTAGTAAACAAGAATCCCAGGAAAAAATTGATGAACTTCCAGAACCGTATCTTCTCCTTGGAGATTTTAACGCACATAGCAGTCTGTGGGGTGACTCGCGCTGCGATGTACGTGGTCGTCTGATTGAATAGTTTCTTCCCCTCTGGCGGATGTCTCCTCAATAAGAAAGAAGCAACATATTATAGCCTCGCTAACAATACCTACTCGTCAGTCGACCTAAGCATTGTATCTCCATCGTTCTTTCCCTTCCCACTGGAAAGTTGTCAATAATCCTTTTGGAAGTGACCCACTATCCTGTAGTTCTGAGCTCAGCATTACAAAATGAATGCCCTCCACACCTTCCCAAATGACTGATAGAAAAAGCCGATTGGGACCAGTTTTTTACAAGGTTGCTATAAGTTGGACTGACAATAGCGGTTGTAGTTTAGATGCAGCTGTAGCTGTAGAATACTTTACTCTTTTTCTTATTGAAGCCGCAGCTAAGTGCATTCTGCAAACATCTGGACTGGCCTGAAAACGACGCGTTCCCTGGTGGAACAATGAGTGCCGCAATGCTCGCAAACAACAAAACAGGATGGAGGCTGCTTCGAGACTCACCAACCGCTGAAAATCAAGTCTCAAGGCAGGAGAACACGTCAACTGACCGGGAGGGAGAGCTGGCAGAAGTTTTTATTTGGAATCAACTCATATACGCATGAAGCAAGAGTCAAAAGCATGGTCCGTAGGGTAGTAGGGTGAGAACCACATCCTCTTCCTCTAGTAAACACACAAGGCAACGGTTTGGAAGACCAAGCAAACCCTCTATGTGCACACTTCGAACAGGTCTCCAGCTGATCCCATTACAGTGCAGCGTTCCA